TGCACCACTGCTTTTTGCAGATGATGTGGTTCTGATGGCTTCATCAGTCTGCGACCTTCAGCACTCACTGGATCGGTTCGCAACCGAGTGTGAAGCGGCTGGGATGAGGATCAGCACCTCCAAATATGAGGCCATGGTTCTCAGCAGGAAACCGATGGACTGTCCACTCCAAGTAGGGAATGAGTCCTTACCCCAAGTGAAGGAGTTCAAGTATCTCGGGGTCTTGTTCTCGAGTGAGGGAACAATGGAGCGTGAGATGGGTCGGAGAATCGGAGCCGCGGGAGCGTTACTGCAGTCGCTTTACTGCACCGTTGTGACGAAAAGGGAGCTGAGCCAGAAGGCAAAGCTCTCTGTCTACCGGGCCATTTTCGTTCCTACCCTCACCTATGGTCATGAAGGATGGGTCATGACCGAAAGAACGAGATCGCGGGTACAAGCGGCCGAGATGGGTTTTTTTCCGCTGGGTGGCTGGTGTCTCTCTTAGGGATAAGGTGAGAAGTTCGGTCATCCGGGAGGTACTCGGAGTTGAACCGCTCCTCCTTCGCGTCGAAAGGAGCCAGTTGAGGTGGTTCGGGCACCTAGTTAGGATGCCACCTGGGAACCTCCCGAGGGAGGTGTTCCAGGCACGTCCAGCTGGGAAGAGACCAAGGGGTAGACCTAGGACCAGGTGGAGGGATTATATCTCTTCGCTGGCCTGGGAGCGCCTTGGGATCTCCCAGTCAGAGCTGGTTGATGTGGCCAGGGAAAAGACATTTTGGGGCTCTCTGCTGGAACTGCTACCTCCGCGACCCGACCACGGATAAGCGGGAGAAGATGGATGGATGGATATAATAAAACAAACTCAAAAGCAAACTTCCACGAGCTCTCCATTGATATCAGAACAGCAGAAAGTCAAGATTTCTTCCGTCGCAGGCTAAAAAAACACCCGCTTCATTTGAACCTTGGACCCATTTGAAACCAATGCACCTGCTCTTACAATGGTTTGGCTTATTTGAAGCAAATACTGTATATCGGCACTTTTTCCTGAGTTTGTACCTTTATGGTTTATTGGCCTTATTTTAAGTTGCTTTGGAAAAAAGCGTCAGAGAAATGAAATGTAATTGAATGTAATGTGAAGCTAGCGATCTTACCTCCTCTCTTCCCCCCCTAAAATAACACACGTTTAGTTAAAAACTAAAAAGATTACTAAATCTAAAACAGTGAGAAAATACATTTGATCAAGTAGTACAAAATAATGATTAGCTCCGTCACTGGAGGGTTGCTAACAGGAGGCTAAAATAATGACTGTCAATCTGTTTGCTCACTACTGCTTTTAATTGTCTAAGTTTTGATCTTGCTTGTAGAGAAAAATATCGATGCATTTAATTCAAATAACATAAATAGGTAACACTTTTATCCTATTGGACTTTGTCAACCATTAAGTTACAAAATGAAAAAGTAAGGATGCTGCAAAGACATTACCATTCAATATTTAAGTTCTATGTACTGAAGGTGCACATTAGAATATGAAATGTTGTATGTGGGACATAATGGTGGCAAAGAACTTAAATTGTCATGCATCAAGTAATTGTTGAAATAAATTAAGTGCATATGTGTACTCTATGTGTATGCTACAGTACTGATGGATTTCTGTCCCTCATCAGGATGCATGTGCAGCTTTACTCCTGGAGCTCCAGCTGGAAGTGGATCGCAGTGGGGTACCTGCAGCAGGGAATCCTGGAAAGTCTCGGTCAGGCGGGAGGGCGGGCTTCATTCTGGTGATAGACGGCCGGACCCTGGACTGGGCCCTGCAGGAGGACCTGAAGGAGGACTTCCTGCTGCTGAGCTGCAGCTGTAAGGCGCTGCTCTGCTGCAGGTCCACCCCGCTGCAGAAGAGCCAGGTGGTGCGGCTGGTCCGGGACCAGCTGGCCGTCATGACCCTGGCCGTGGGTAAGAACAGGTGGAAGAAGAATTCAGATGCTCTACCTGAGTAAAAGTACCACTACATCATTGTCAAAGTACTTCAAGTGAAAGTCCTGCATTTAAAATCTTACTTCAGTAAAAATACAAAAGTATTATCAGCAAAATCTACTTAAAGTATAAAAAGTAAAAGTAATCATTGGCCTTTAGGTGTGTATATAATTATATTTATGTATGTGATATTTCTAGATAATGTTGTTGCAACAAGTAGCATTTTACTCTTGGAGACAAAGTTCAGATTTTTTTGTAAAATATTTAAATAATCTGACTCTTTGTGATGAGTTAGTCCACTAGTTTATGAATTGCGTTCAGAGTATCTAAAGCTGTAAAACAAATGTATTGGAGTACAATTATTATTTTTTCCTTTTAAATGAAGTGGAGTAGAAGTATAAAGTAGCATTAAATGGAAATACTCAAGTAAGTACAAGTACCTCAAAATGTATTTAAGTACAGTACTTAAATACGTACGTAATCTTCTTGGCTACTTCCCACCTCTGAATACCACTGGGAAGATTAACCTAGTTCTTTGTAAATGAAAGATTCCCTTAAAGTCTATTTGTATCCTTTATTTTAAACTATCCCTCAGCTATAAGCACGAGTAAGGTCAGATATTATCAGGCCGTCAATACCAGAACATAAGATTTCAATTAGATAGTGACTGTAGGGATAATCTTAAATTATGTGATATTCTTTGTGCGTACCTAAATGTGATGAGTGTTTCTGGTTCAACAAGGTGATGGAGCCAATGATGTGAGCATGATCCAGGTGGCTGATGTGGGCATCGGGATCTCTGGACAGGAGGGGATGCAGGTGAGAACTTCACTTTACGTCTTTATGACAGACTCTACGCCTATAGAAGCTGGAGTTACAGTAAGTAACTTCAGATTTGGGTAGTCCCTTTTTCCCGGTTATCAACCCTACACTCTAACCCTAACCCGATGACAGCTATATCAAATGGAAAAGATAACAACTTAAAATTTGCTTCACATAAGCAGAGGGAGAAGACAATTATAGACATCAACTTTCATGTCAGTACCACTTCACATTCCTGAGTTATGTGAGGATCATCCCTTTTTTTTAACAATAACTTTATTTATTTAGCACCTTCCATGCATTATGCATCCTATAGTGCTTTACAGAGCAAGATAAGATACAGTAAAACAATAACAATGAGTAAAAATCAATAAGAGTAACACATAATGTTACAAAAAAGTTATAAAAACAAAACGGAATAAGATAAAGGTCGCAAAACAATAAAACCGACCAATTCCAAGGGAGTTAGCTGATCTAAGATCTAAGGGAATTATTATGGCTATCCATGACAGCTATATCAAAGATAGAAGCTCGAGCCCCCCAAACTCAGTACACATACTGTAAATACAGGAAGGAGACAATAACACACACCAAATGTCACGATGCCCCCCCTTACTGTCATCCCCGTTTCCCTACCCTAAAACAACCATAATAATTTTTGAATTGGAGTCACCGACAGCTGTATAAAAAGAAGCAGCTAGAACATGTTTGTTTGGGTAATATGTTGTCTCTGTGTGTCGTTCCCCAGGCGGTGATGTCCAGTGACTTTGCGATCTCCAGGTTCAAACACCTGAGGAAGCTGCTGCTGGTCCACGGTCACTGGTGCTACGCTCGACTCGCAAACATGATCCTCTACTTCATCTACAAGAATGTGGTACGAGTTATTTTCAGAAGTCATGTTTTTTAAGACAGGTTAAGAGACTAACAGTAGGGGAAGTTTCACAATAACTCTATTCTCAGAAATACTGGATATGAACAATCCAAATATTTTACTCGCATGATTTAAAGGTCCCCTATTATACTCTTTTTCAACACTATATTATAGGTCTCATATATATATACAAAATATGTCTCTGAAGTGATTGGCTGAAACACCAAACAGATCATTGCAGCGTGCCATAATCCCCTCTGTTTCAGCCCTGTTCCAAAAGTGCTGATTCTGTGTCTGTAGCTTTAAATGCTAATGAGCCGCTGCTGGCCACGCCCCCTGATGATTTGTTTAAAAGAACACAATGGTGCTCTAGGAGGAGATTGAGGTGATAAGATGGGGGGGGGGCGGGTTGCCTTGGTTGGTTATTGGCTAATGGTTACACAAGCCAAAAACACATTGTCACATCACAAAGTGACCGAAATCTGATCAGCTCATTTTCAAACAGGTTTTTATATAGATGGAGCAGGAAAAGAAGAGAGAGAATCTTTTTTCCTGAAACGTTCACAATCTATTAACACAGAGGGGACACATGTTTATGTATAAAAGACATGAAAAAGTGGATTTTGCATAATAGGTGACCTTTACATTTCTCAGTATTTTACCTGTTTGACTGGCTATTTGTTATGTGACAGCTCTCTTGACTAAACGCTAGTGGATTTTTGTGTTATTAGAGAGAGAGAGAGAGATGCGCAGAGTGTCTGTCAGGCCCCGCCCCCTCTTTTAAAATATATTGAAAGTTAGAAACGGAGATGGTTTGATAAAATGTGTTATGTAGCATTTATTGTTGAAATTATGACATTTCATAACGGGATCAAATCAAAGTGAATGGCCTGCTGCTGCTGAATGCATGGGGCAAGTGACTGGAAAAAGTTATTACATCGTTTCAGATAATAAATAATAATAATAATTAATTCTATTTAGAGGCGCCTTTCATAGCTCCCAAGAACACCTTACAATTCATAAAATATTCTAAGGAAAGGTTTAAGACGGTACAAAAGGACTATAACAGGGAACATGTTGGGAAACAGGAGACATGTAGCAGTACAGTGAGTAGGCTGATCTGAACTGAGGTTACCTACTGTAACCCCAGCTTCTATGAGTAAATGGCGCAGCTATTGGGTAATCCCTCTGCGCACCCGCGCAGCACTGAAACACTTGTAGTCCATGCCCACCCGCAAGGTGGGCCCCGCCCTCGGGCCTCCTTCCGGTATAAATAGGAAGGCCCGGCAATCTGCTCCCATACAAAATAACTTTTCTTCAGCTATTCGTAGAGCCAGTGGGGCCCAGCGCTTAGAGGGCTGCGCCATTTACTCATAGAAGCTGGGGTTACAGTAGGTAACCTCAGTTCTATTTCGTATATGGCTTCGCCCTCTAAGGCTATCGCTATTGGGTTAAGGGGGAAGCATGATGTAGTCTGCGCCCCACTGGGTCCGCCCGGCACTAGAAGCACAGACACACCTGCTAAATAACACCCCATGCCTGTTGTGCCATGCGTAATGGCGCATCACCATCCCTGGAACATAGCAAAACATGCCTATCTTCCCTGACGGGATGAAGGCTGGGAACAATACATACCGGCCGCTGTGAGAAAGTAGAGACGAAAGTCCCACCTTGTCCTGCGATCGTAGTGGGGGAACAGCAGCACTCTGCGTGCAGACAGGCAGGATAGCGCACCGCTGGATCCCTGACGTCACTCACTCTGACCAGGCACTCCGTACAAAGTGTCAGAGGAAAAAGGAACATCCCTCCTATAAGAGGGAAAAAAGGGGCCGCTCTCCGCGTGCCGAAAGGCAGGAG